ATCAAAATGCACTACAGAGTTTATTGAAGAAATCGTTACTGTTGTCGAAGAATATATGAAGAAAGAGCTTTGAAAGTATTAGCATGAATCAAAATACACTACAAAATTTATTGAAGAAATTGTTACTCTTTTCTAAGAATATGAAGAAAGGGCTTTGAAAGTATTAGCATGAATCAAAATGCACTATAAAGTTTATTGAAGAAATCGTTACTGTTGTCAAAGAATTTGAAGAAAAAGCTTTGAAAGAATTAGCATGAATTAAAATGCACTACAGAGTTTATTGAAGAAATTGTTACTGTTGTCAAAGAATATGAAGAAAGAGCTTTGAAAGTATTAGCATGAATCAAAATGTATCATAAAGATGATTAGAGTAATATTAGTTGTTACTCTCGTCCTGCTTGCACACCATTTAAAGCGTGCACACGCAATTGAATCATTATCTTGCATGTTATGTTATTCCCATTAGTTGTTGCATACACATTTGCGTCATGCACTAGCAGGGCAGTATTCATGGAAACACTATTGATCTTAGTGATTGAGATAAAGTCTGTTTACATCTTACCCCTCTCGAACCCTACCTTCTAACGGAATACACTGGGTTCGTTTGGTTTAATTTACTTTTCAAAGTATTTGTATCGATTAAAATACATCACAAAATTTATTCAATGAATTTTGATTTATGAGAACTTGTAAAAATGGGAAAATGTATAATACACTGTTGTTTGTTTCTATACAAGTTACACAAATAATGGATGTTGGTATAAAGATACGATTGTAGGTTTTCTTTATCATAGAATACACTGCAAAGACGGACCCAGAATTTTTTTTAAACGGTGGCATCATTTGACCATAAGAAAAAAAAATATAGAAACTTTTTTTCAAACGGTGACACCATTTGACTATAAGAAACAAATATACGGAATTTTTTTTCAAACGGTAGCACCGTTTGACTAAGAAAATGACAATAACATGATTCGGACTTGGGTGTGGGGCGGAATAAAAGCCTTGCAAACCAACTCTACCAAATAAAATTTGTTCTCATTGTAGTTTCAAAATACATACGGTGCACACAACAAATTAATACGGTTGCACCGTTCACGAAACCTAATTTTTTTACCCATCAGCGGAGAAACAATACGGTAGCACGTGCCACCTATACCACATACATAGATCCGTCCATGATACACTGCACATTCATCTCAACATCTTTATCTCTACGACTTCCAATTTTTTTCTCATATTTGGATGTATGTTGCACAATTGTTTTACAATGAGCCCAGATTTTTTATGCAGAAGTACAAAGTACAGCTGATATATATATATATATATATATATATATATGTGTGTGTGTGTGTGTGTGAGAGAGTGTGAGAGAGAGAGAGAGAATAAAAGGCAATTGATTATTGAAAATTGGATGTAATTTGTGCAGCCAAAAAGAGCAGGGTTGTTTGCTAAGATATGTAATCAGATTATGGAAAACACATCAACTGCTACTCTCACATGTCAAAACACTTAAAAAGGACCAAACACCTTTACTAGCTGAATGCTTCAGAAACATATTTCAATCTCTTGGTCTTATGCTTCCACTGGTTTCTGCCAAACAAACACACACACACACACAGTCAGCAGATATTAAAAACAAAAGTCTTATTAATAATCAAGGTTCTAAATGGTGTGAAGATAGGCATGATGGTGACGTCAAGCCTCAAGCCTTAGGAGCCACATTGAGGTCATGACATTTTTCAAGACGTGACTTATGGCAGCAAATCTGTATATCGTATATACAATTAAATAGATATCAAGTTATATACTAAAAGATCAAAAATTAAGACAAAGGATAAGAAAAATCAACTATCGCGTTATAATGAATGCACGTCAGGCCATGACGGCTATCGTGACAAGACCTTAGAACGCTGTTAATAATACAATCATAATCCAGATTTTCATACAAATCAAAAAGATTGATAGGTTGAATCAGTAAAGAGAGCCAAAAGAATGGATCACTTATGCCGTTCAATTTGATCAGATCCATTTAAAAATGATCATGTGTGTCATGAATATTTGTACAAGGGTAAGAGATCAGGTATGCACACGTCTCACCCAAGACCTACGTTCAAGCGAGATTTACTGGGTTGGGTCGGTTTGGTTTACATTTGTACAAGGGTAAATATATAATATACCTTCAAAGGTACCATATAGTGTGTCATGATGAAGGGATAAATCAAATATCAACTACTGAAAATAAGACTTATTATCTTGTCCATGATTGCACCATGATATACGGTTTAGAATGTCAAACTACAACTAGTCATGCTCTAATTGCTTTGGCTTTTAAGTTGCTTTCTCATTCAGCCATTGATGATAGGGGGATTAAAAAGTAATTGTTGCACCATAGATAGCTTATGAGTTCAATAGAGGCACAAAAACCTATCAACTGCTCCAATCTATACCTGTCATGACCCGAAAATTTAAAATCTCCCCAATAACAGGAATATCATCTCAAAAATATCACACTGGAAAAATATAATAAGATAAATACAAATTTCTAGTACCACATCTTCATGGAACCAATCCAAGTATACTTCCAAAATCTTAATCAAGTTTGGATTTGCATTCTAGAGAGACAATGTTTTCCTTAATCATGGATTGCATACTTTTTCATTAAAAGGTCCATTGAGACGGCACTATGACCGGATTAAGCCGTATCCGGACTAACTGTGGGGATGAGAAAATTGGCCAAATTCAGCTTCACGATTTTCATGCATGAAGACATCAACAACTTTAAAATATAAAATCATGATGAAAAATCTCTCACATGAGCATGCATATTTTGAACTTCATGACAACACATAGTGGCTACATAACAAAACAAAATCACTACGCACAAAGCTCTTATGGTGTCATCCTCGTGAGATACAGAGTCTCAATACATACAGTTCACGGGACAACGCAGTCTCATAATGCATTTCATGAGACGACTTAAGATACACATTCTCATGTCTTACGTGTTCCATTGTGTGAGCTAAGTCGATCCACAGAACATCACTTTAAAACCTGTTAAAGGTTTTAGTTATTGTGATCAGAATTTATTAACCCTTATTTTAAGATCAAGTAATTGAACCCAAAAACTTTTCCTTATAGATCCACTTACATTCTGTGCTCAAAGTAGCATTTTACTTACATTAGGGTGACTTAAACCTTGTGACCTAATCATAATAAACACAAGCTCAACTTAATGTAATTAAAATGCTACTTCAAGCATAGAATGGAAGTGGATCTATAAGAAAAAGTCTTTGGGGTTCAATTACTTAAATCATAAAATAAAGGCTTAAGGTACAAATGATGATCGCATTAACTGAAACCATCCATAGGTTTTAAAGTGTTAAATATGGAACTTAGATGTTGGTTTGACAGTTGTAAAAAAGGGTCACGAACGAGATATATTTTTAGGCTTGCGAACAATAATAGAGTAAAACATACTATTAAGTCAATATTTTGGGCATCCAAGATCAGTTAGTCTTACACCATGATTTTAATACTTTGGACCTCAAATGAGTTTCACGTATTATTTTACTAGACTGCATGCAATAAAATGTCTTTACTTGCTGATATGATTTGATCATATTATGTTGAATGATGTAAAGCACGCAAGTATTCGCTTCAGAATTAAAAATGCATGAAAGTGATATGTACAGTGGAACCTATAAAACATTAGATTTGTTGTCTCATGAGCCGTATGGCATGAGACTGTGTTGTCTCATGAACCGTATGGCATGAGACTGTGTTGTCCCATGAACCGTATAACACAGGATTATGTGTGTTATGAGAATGACTCTGTAAGAGCTTTCTGCGATATGAAGACAGATATAGATAGAACTCGATCGAATATATAAGAGTGTCAGGTGATTTAGTTCTGCTAAGTAGCCACTATTTCCTACCACAAAATTTGAAGCATTTTCAGAGTATGCATACTCATGTGAGAAAATTGTTCGTCATAATTTTATGATTTAATATTTAAAACAGTTATTGATGTCATCATGCATGAAAATTATTTGGTCTAATCTTTATTGAAAAATTATGCAATTGAGGGTGGGAAAAACTTTGACTCAAGATGCGTTCGGGAATGCAAATCTAGACTTGATAACTATACTTATCGATTCTAGTATTTAAATGTGGTATTAGAATTTTGTGTTAGTCTCGATAAGCAACGTTAGATTTCTCTGCCATGATATTCGTGAGATGATTTTGAGATGATATCCCTATTATTGGAAATATTTTGAAATTTGGGGTCGTTACAATACCTACTTCAATCAGAATATAGATGGTCAAACTGAAAGGTCTGGGATGAGGAAAGATTTCTGCTATTCTCATAAAGTGATTGAACAACTAGTTAATTCCTTAATGCAACAATCTAATAAAAATCAATACTTGCACATTATAAACCAAATGAACCCAGAGGTAGGATCTAGGGGGTAGGATATACATAGACCTTGCTTCTACCCCTTGGGGTAGAGAGACTGTTTACGTGAATACTCTTGTGACAGGAAAAAATAGAAGAACAAGCAAGTAATCTACAAGTGAAAATGTGTTGAAACAAGCAATGGGTACAGTACATTAAACAGAAAATGCAGCAGGGATAGAAGTGAGCGCAAAAGGTTAAACAAACAATTGAACATTCTGGTTTTTTCAATAAATTTTGGAATTTTAATTTGCTGACATGAAAAATAGAGCGAGCAACTGGCAAAAAGAAAAGATAACCTACTGTAGACCAGAAAAATTAACATGTGATCCTTTTGTGCTGTCACAAAAGGCACCCTTTTATTTGACAATAAAGAAAGACGTTATCTTTGCCATATCGACTTCATCTTTCACATGTTCACATATTTTTCATTTGAAAGATTTAGTTCTTGAAGTCCAAATATCACTGCCACCAGAAACCTGATTTTGTTTTACTGATGTTGGATTCTAAAAAGAGGGCCTACTTGCAGGATAATAATGCTTTCATGCAAACTTGGACATGACATAAGAAAAATACATATCCACATGAAATTTTGATTCTGTGTTCAAGCTGTGAAAACTGAAAACCCAAAAAAATGACAGAATGTTCAAGTTGTCTGAACTGAAAATGGCATAGTAGAAGTGATTTAAATGCAGAATCATGAAACAAAGTGGTGGAACTGAAAAAGGGATTATGGTGTTCAGTAAAGC